TTTTTGTATAATGGTTAGGCTAAAGTTATGATGACTTTTATTCTTTATTTTTTTGGTATTTTTCCCTCTTTCTTTACAGTTGTACACACATTTCCAGACATGTTTGAGAAGCATGGATTTATAGGATTTATAGCTACCAACTGTGCCATCTACTTTAATTTACAGTTGATTTCCTAAATAAATTGGCAACTAGGTGTATCACAGTAGTGTTTTGTTTTATTTTCTATGGTGTTAGAAATAGTTTTCTTTTAAGCAGTATAGTAAAATCTTTGTGCCTGAAGAGGCTTTGACAACTCCTTAAGTACCATTACTCTTATAAAGGACATGATGTGGTCTGAATAATTTAGTAGTGCGAAGATGTCACATTTTTGAGATGTCTATTTTATAGCTTTTCTGAATAACTGAGCCAAACACCTCTCCCTGGAATTTAACAACTTGTATCTCTAAGTTCTTAGGTAAACAATAAATTGCCTTTCTCTTTCTTTGAATAAAAGTTACCATGACAACTTGGTAAGCTTCTGTGGGAGAACTTAAACACTAAGCCCTAGTCTTTAAGTTTTCTTTTTTTTTTTTCAATTTTTTTATTTATTTAAATATTTTATTTTATATAATTCTTACATCTTTTTTTCATCTTTGCACAATGTCCGCATTTTCATTTTGGTTATATTCCCCATACAATTGCACCTCCTCCCTTATTTTGACTCTAGTCCTTCCTTTCCCCGCCCCCCCGCCCCCGCCCACCCCAGTGTGTCTCTGGTTTATAGTTGATTGTTGATTTTGATTTTTACTTTGTATTGATTAGTCTTTTTTCCTGGTCTCTTATTTAGGTTTTCTAGATTCCTGCTATGAGTGAGACCATCCGGTATTTTTCTTTTTCTTTCTGGCTTATTTCGCTGAGCATGATCCCTTCTAGCTCCATCCATGTTGCTGCAAATTGCATGTGTTTATCTTTTTTGAATGCTGAGTAATATTCCATGGTGTATATGTACCACATCTTCTTGATCCAGTCATCTATTTTTGGGCATTTGGGTTGTTTCCAAAGCTTAGCTATTGTAAATTGTGCTGCTATAAACATAGGGGTGCAGGTGCTCTTTGGAATTGATGTTTCTGTGTCCTTTGGGTAAATACCTAGGAGTGGAATTGCTGGATCATATGGAAGCTCTATGTTTAGTAGTTCAAGAAATCTCCACACATCTCTCCATAGTGGTTGGATCAGTTTGCACTCCCACCAGCAAACTAGCAACAACAAATGTTGGCGAGTTTGTGGAGAAAAAGGAACTCTCCTAGTCTTTAACTTTTTGATATTTTGAAAGATGTTATCTTAAATTCTTTTCAGCATTTCTGTTTTAAGTATAAATGAAGGAATATTTTCACAAAGCCATATCAGTGCAATTAGAAAATATCATGTATATTTTTGCAGATAATCCATTATTTAAAACATCATGATGATCTTGTCCATTATGTTAACTTTAAGACCATTTCTTGATTAACTACAGAGATTTAGGGAGTAAAGGGAATAACAAGTAATTTTAGATATATTGATTGAAACATACTGAACTTTATATTAAAAGATTAAAGAAAATACTTGTTCATTTCTTGGGAATTTGGGAGCAGAATCTGCTAGATAATTCACTTAAATATTACATCTCTGACCTTAGTGTTGGTGAACTCTTATAGTAATACCAGTAAAAGGGAGAAAAAATGTTTTTTTAATTTAACTCATTAAATATTTTCTTCAAACCATCTTCTAATACCATCAGTTGAAAAATCAAATTCAGACTGGATGATTTCAGATATTTTATTTTATTTTTTTCAAGATTTATTTTATTTATTTATACAATCACTGGGTACAGTCAGAAGCACGGGAGGGTGAGAGAATTCACCAGAGCCAGAGTGGAGAGCAGAACAGGCAGACTGACAAAATACACTGCTGAGGGGAGCAGTGGGCGGCAGAAAGGTCTTCACGCCATGTGGGACCCTCGCCTGGCAGCCGGGGATCGAACTGGCGCTGCAGTGGCTGCTGGCAGCTTCGCAACCCAGCGCTCAACCGCTGCACCACCAGGGAGGCACAATTTCAGACATTTTAGATGCAAGTTTTGATTCTTGCTGTGTGATTGCCAGAACTGAATGGGAGATGTTTGTTTTCCAGATCTGTAATTCTGTAGACAAGTTTGCCTAATTCAGTGTTCCTTCAGTTAAGTCTCTCCTGGTAACAAATTAGAGAAACTTGATTTCAGTTGGAATTCTTTTGGTTGACATTAACCCAACTAAAGATATTTTAACCATAAAGAGATGGAATTGTTCATCCAAGTGAGCTAGGTCACCCTTGGATATATTTGATGAGGAATCTGCCTTCTTTTTAGAGACTTATTTTTATTTATTTATGCATACAAGAACTAGGGTGTGGGCCAGAAGTACAGGGGATGAGAGGATTCACCAGAGACAGGTGGGGAACAGAACAGGCAGACTGACTAAAATACACTGCTGATGGGAGCAGCGGGCAATACAGCTGAGGTCTGCTTTGCCATGTGGGGTTAGCTCCCTGGCCAGGGATCAAACTCATGACATGGTGGTGATAGCACTGAGCCTAACCCCTGAGCCACTGGGAAGGTCCCAAGATCTGGCTTTTTCTTTGCAGTGTTTATGGTTCTGTTGTCTGTTTTCTTTGTCTTTAGGCAGGATTAACTTCATGGTAGCAAAATAGTGGCAGTATTTTCAAACCTTATACCACATCTCTTAGCAATCAGAATAAAGGAAATTTTCTCCACTCTCCCTCATCTCCTATAAGACTAGTTGGCTCTTTTTTTTTTTTTTTTTAAGATTTATTTATTTATTTAGACAAGCTCTGGGTAAAGTCAGAAGAGCGGGAGGTGAGAGAATTCACCAGAGCCAGAGCGGAGAGCAGAACAGGCAGAGTGCTGAAATACACTGCTGAGGGGAGCAGCGGGTGGCAGGAGAGGTCTGCGCGCGATGTGGGACCCTCACCCAGTGGCTGGGGATCGAACTGGTGCTGCAGAGGCTGCGGGCAGCTTGGCAACCCAGCGCTCAACCACTGCGCCACTGAGGAGCTTCTTGTTATGTGTATATGATGTCCACCAACCTTGAGACCAGTGGGATGACATGCAAGAAGGCTAGTGCCCAATGTCAGGAAGGGTATTTCCTCTGAAGCTTCCAGTGGTCAAGTGCCAGACAATGGGAGAAATTTCATACATGCTGTAGTCACAACCACAATGCTTGTTACCCATCTAGAACTCAGGCAGTCTATGCCCTTTTCTGGAAGGGGGGGCTTGAAAACCATTAGCATTGGAAGTTTTCTTGGGTTGCATAGAAATTTACTCTTGCTTGTTTTCTTTCTTATCTCCTCTTCTTTCTCAGCAGAACTTTTTGTCTTTAATCATGGGTGTCCACATAATTTATACAAATACGTAGTGTTTAATTGTAGATTTACCTAGAATCTTTATTTAAAAAAAAATCATATTTTTGACATTTAACCTCTATTCTCAAGCTTCTCTTTATATTTAGGGTAATTTTCTTTGTTTTGGTTATGAGGGAAAATCTATGTAGTATATACTTTTTATTTATGTTGTTAGGTCAATATGTATCTAGCATGAGGACTTGTGAAAATGTGCATGGGAATATAATTTTAACTGCATTTCAAGAATAATTTCATTTTAATTAAATACCACTTTAAAAATAAAGACATTAGACAGAATTCATAACCCAAACTTTATTTTTCAAACACTAGATCCTTAATTTACTACACATTCTTAAATTTGCCTGGATATTTTAAAATATGTTTATCTAGTAACTCCTCAAATTGATAAGCATAATTATATTTAATGGTAAAAAAATATCAGTTGCAGTCCAAATTACTCCAGAACCATGATTTTTCTGTACATTCTTCAGCATAACATACAAAACTCTGTATTGACTGAAAAACTTGAAATCTAAAGGCATCACAGTGATATCAATAATTAGGATTCAAATAAAAGTAGAATTTAATAACCCTGAATTATAGAGAAAAAAATTTGCTATCTCTATTTCTAGGACCATTAACTGAAAAATAACCCTACTTTTTAAGAAGTTTGAATTGTTACTCAATGCTAATTACAATTCAGGTTTTCAGCAAATAGTTCCAAAAGTGACATCTGGGGTGGGTCAGTAATTAGATATTCCTAACATTACTGTGGTGGAAAGACTATTGTACACAAAGAACACATTTGCCTCTAAGTTTTGTTTAATTAACAATTTCTTCTTTAAAAAGTCTGTTGATTTTATATTTCTCATTCACTTCCCTGAATTAACTCACTTGGCTATTTTGAAGAAAAATAACATTTCTAATATCAGGATCATTTTTCTGTTTTAAAAATAATTTTAAGGACAATTTTCTTTTGAGTACTGGTCTTTTTCAAATCTTTTAAATGAAATCGTCTACAAATGTAAAATTAAATTAGTTGAGCATGTTGTGATCTAAACCCTTTTTACCAACTTTGTATAATTGACACAAATTGTAAAAGTTTAAGATGTATGTTGACCCAATTAACTTATATATTACAAAATGATTACTGCCATAGCACCTCACTTAATTTCCATAATTTTATGTCTATTGCTCTGTGTGTGTGTGCAGGAGTATGTGTGCTTGCACATGTGTGTGTGTATGTATGTGTATTGAGATTAAGCTCTATCCTCTTGGCAACATTTAAGCATATAATACAGTACTAATACAGCTATGGTTAGCATGTTGGTATTAGATCCCCAGAATTCTTTACACTTTATAACTAAATATTTGTATAATTTTACCCACATCTGCCCATTTCTTTCACTCTCTAGCCCCTGGTAATCAATTTCTGCTCTGCTCTAAGAGTTTAGCTATATTGGAGTCCACATATAAGTGATATCATGTAGTATTTGTCTTTCTCTGACTTATTTCACTTAGCATAATGTCCTGAAGTCTTTCCATGCCTGTGTTCTTGATGTACATCATTTCTCTCTTGTTACAGGAGGACACAGACCACAATTACTATATATCTCGGATATATGGTCCATCTGATTCTGCCAGTCGGGATTTGTGGGTGAACATAGATCAAATGGAAAAGGACAAAGTGAAGATTCATGGAATATTGTCCAATACTCACCGGCAAGCAGCAGTAAGTGCTTTGACATTTTGAGTTTCTTATTTTCTGCTGTTAAAAATGCCTGCTTTAATTGGTATATTAAAATGTTTTTTTTTTTTGAACCCTGCAAATTCTAACAGTCTTATATGGAAGCCCTGTCTCTTAACCCTAAAAGAAGCAGGGGAATTTGTTTCCAGCTCACCAAACCTCAACCTCTCCCAACTGTGTAACCTGTACTGTATCCCCTTGATGTATCTATTCTACCAGAGTGTCACCTACTAAATGCAATATTTATTGCTGGGGGAAGGCAGGGTGATAAAGCTAACTTAAGTGAGCTGCTAATGGCTAGCTCAGTAGGCCTAAAAGACATCTGCTACCCAACCCCCACATGGAGTCCTTTGCTCCTAGTCTTCCAAAGATCTGTAAGCACCACTTAGCTTTCCCTCTGGAAGAACACTGAATTCTAGGTGGCTGCATTGCTGAAACCCCTAATACCACTGGCCGCTAGCTTGGCAATCTCTAAAGACACCCTCTCCCTTCCCAGTCATACTCCAGTGCTTCCCTGAATGTCTAGTGCACCACAGCCATGGAGCAGAGCAAAACATAAAGAACACAGATTGCCGGTCAGGTACTGAGCTGACACACACGGGAATGCTGGTGGCAAGCATTCATGGTCTGAAAGGCAGCCATCCATCCCAAATTCAGGTGTCTAGACTTGCCTCAATTGCTAGACCTCTCAGCCAGATGAGCACCACCTCCCCTAAAGAACAGTATCTGCTGAACAGGCAGGGAGCTGATGCACCTGGGGTTGCTGGCCACAGGCACCGCAGTCTGGAGAGGTACTCACCTCTCCCCTCCCTGACTTTCAGGGTTTCCAGCAACTCCTAACCTACTGCACTAGACAAAATGTTGCCTCCCAGAGAGATCAAGAATTACTGGGCAGTTTTTGAGCTGCTGGTGGCTAGCATGGTGATCCTGACACTCACAGCCCCTCCTCAATTTGGGCCGGGTAGGCATGTGAACAATCTGTGATGCAATCTGCAACTTCTCAGCATCCCTACCTGCAGCCCAAGTCCACAGCCTCCTCACTGCTCCTGTGATATGGAAATCCACAAGTTGTCACATCAGGATGGAGAGGGTGGAAGTCTGATTGGAGAGGGTCAAAAAAGGAAAAAGAGAAGAAATATTAGGGGTGATGACTGTGGAAATCTCCTTTAAGGTGTTTTGCTCTACTTATAACAGAAGGGTGGGAGCAGGGAATACCCTGCATGCTCCATTCGGAGTTGAGCAGTTTGGGGGGAGTTGGATATGCTGCAGAATATCCTCAGGTTCTATACCAGCAGTTTATTCCCAGCAACAGAAGGGAGGCAGAATATCTCTACAGTTCTAGCAGATGGATAGGTATAGCAATGGTAGTGTGAAAAAAAAGAAGAGCTGAGGTTACCAGAAGGGACAGAAAAGGGGGGTCAAAAGAGGAGGGGGGCTCAGTGGACAATGGTTGAGGTTTATTGGTGCTTTGGGGATGGGCTTGAAATGATAATGTACATTTTAGAGTTGTGTGCACCTGTGTCCCTATAAGATATACAATGTTTTAAATCAGTGTTTATAATTTATAATTATAATTATAAATTTAAAAATTTATAATTTATAATTTCAAAAAATAAATAAATTTATAATTATAATTTCAAAAAATAAATAAAATCTTAAAAAAAAAGCAAGCAACTTGGTTGTACAGTTGAGAAATGAAAGAACAGAAGACATCTTCTTAGATAAAGGAAAGTGAAAAATTTGTCCAAGTTCCTACTGTAGAGAAAACAATGATCCAGTAACTTTATATTCAAATACTGGTACTTACTTGACCTTTTTGTCCTTTATTTAAATGTGCATATTGTCAGGTAGCAGATCTAGAAATATCTGATGATGAGCCTCAGATCCAGTCTGGACTTGTGTTTTTCACTCTGTGGTCCTTTAAATACCACAATTTGTTTTTCTATTTTCTTCTGTGTCTATAACTGTATTATTTATTGCTGGACACAAAGCTGGACTGATCAGCCAGACAAATTAGAATCAATATTGTCTTCTCAGGCCACAGTATATGAAATTCTGACTCTCAGCTTCTAGATAAGTGCCACTTTCCTAGTGGAAGGAATCTGGGGTTACAGATGTCATGAACATTGGCTCCAACACTCATTTTCTTGGATTCTGGCCTCTCTGCTCCTTAATTTTAAAACCTGAAAGAAAGGAGGAAATGCTTGTTTTGACAACCCTCCCAGTGTAATTTTAAGAAAAAAAATGAAATGTATGAAATTACATGGAAAACATATAAAAATGAGTTTTTTAAGTCACTGCTGTTTGTAGACCCAATTCTTTACAACAAAAAATTATTACCTCCAAATAAGTTGATTCCTAAGTATTCTGTAAGAGCCTAGATAGATAGATAGATAGATAGATAGATAGATAGATAGATAATCATGGTTATCTGGATGAACAGATAGATAAATGAATAGATGGTTGGCTGGAGAGAGAGAGAGAGAAAGAGAGAGGTAATCTGTACATGTATCTTTATATTATATCTCTTTATAATTACAGGAAATTGCCAGTATGCTCTTTGTCATACATGAAGACACTGACTTTAAAAAATTTACATTTATGTATTGGTAGGAAAATCAATTCTTTAAAAAACAGCAGCAAAATGAAGTGTTTTTTTGCCATAATGCTGATAAGGTTTTTGATAAAACTTGTGTGATTTTTGGTGTTTTGATTGTTTTAAATTTTAGAAATTGTACTTGATGAGAATCTTTAGGCTACTTGAAAATGTACAGAAGCTTTTACTTAAAAAATAAGATTTCTTAATTATTTGAAAGTATTATTCTTTTATGGAAAAAAAGAATACTGCCTTTGTTCCATTACATAAAAATTATATTGGATTAGAGCAACTGAATTTTGTTCTGCATGGTAGGGATAGGAACTGGTCCACCTGCCTCAGTGCCAGTAAATACATTTCTTGTTAAAGTAGAAATTAAGATTTCTTAATTTTTTAGGAAAATAACATTTCAACTAGCTTTTCTGTTATTCTCACATTTGCATAATGTTGATGTTGGGACATCTAGATTTGGATGCCCGGGGTGACTTCAGTTAGTCGTTTTCTCATATTGCACAATTTTATCCTTTCTGTGCATCAGAAAATCTGTTGACAAGTGCTTATTTTTCTAAATGATTAGTTCAAAAGACAATATAATTTGCTATCTCAATTAGGCTATTATCCAGATCACACATTTTTGCCTTAATTCTGTTCACAGTGACTAACAATAAGTTGTTTTTATTTTTGCCTGGCTGAATAAGCTTATTGCACTTGAGCTGCTTTGCTTCAAGTAAGACATGCACAGTTCAACTTGGCCTGACTTGATTTGCTCATATGTTTTTCCTCTACTTTAACAAAAACTGGGATGAGTGTGTCTGCATGTGCCTCTCTTGCTTATTTTAGCTTAATTAATTTTAATAGTATTATTATTCTTAAGTCACTTGTCAATTTTGAGATTAATTCTCTCTGTCCTGAAGAAAGTAGTTACTTGAAAGTATTATTCTTTTATGGAATAAAGAATACTACCTTTGTTCCATTTCATAAAATCATATTGGATTAGAGCAACTGAATTTTGTTCTGCATGCTAGGGATAGGAACTGGTCCACCTGCCTCAGTGCCAGTAAATACATTTCTTCTCCTGCTGATCATATTGAAGACATAAATTAAATACTTATTTGGCAGTTCCATGTAAAATCCTAAGTTTAATAACTTCTTTTACTCAGTAAAAAATGAGGTAAATTCCTGAGGAAACCAAGGTTAAGAAGGGATGGGGTCTGCAAGGGAGAATAAAAGAGAGCAGTGGTGGATAAATATAAAACAAAGAGACCCCACAGTCATGTCTTGGGTGGAATAAACCTATTTATTGTAGTCCTTCACCTTAGATTTTTGTTCTCTGACTTTTTTTTGGTCATCTTTTCTGAGATATTTCCAGGAGCCCAATAAATCCTAACCTTGGTTAATTTAGGAAAACATGAGTGCAAAATATACTCTCATCCTGAAGATATTAAATAAGACTTTCATATGATACTTTTCACAAAGAAAATGTTTTGTAACACAGCAAAATTAGCAAAATATATATGGAATGGAAGGTTGCTTTAAGAGTGAATAGAAATATAAGCAAGCTGGTTTAGTCTTGTGAAAAATCTAAAGATAAAAGACTAAAAGACATTTCAGGATTGAGATTTCCTAACACATTAGTATTTTAGTATCGTTGAAAAATATTTTCATACCAGTTTCTACTATCTTTATTTTTGCCTATTACTTCTTATCAAATTATAGCCTCACACATAGGTGGTGGATGATTACCCTGCAAAAAAATAGGTTCTTACATGATTTATATATTAACTGGCTTTCCATCAGAAAGTCTACTGTGCATGGAATTCCACCCCAGAATTCAGAAATCAGGGTGTCTCTTTCTTTCTTTACTGAAGGTGTTGTGTTAAAATGCCAATGGGACTAGAAATGAAAGGCCTTGAGATACTCTTAATTTGTGATAGACTGCAAGGAATTCCTTGTGTAGCAACTAGCTGAGGATAAATGCCAAATACTGTTCACTCCAAATAAATAGGCCAAAGTTAGTTACCTGAGAATGGATCTCCTGCATGCTAACTGGAGACATAGATGAGGTGTCATAGGGAGAAACTCTTGGAAGCTATGTTGAGAAATATTCACTTACTTAATGTTTTAAAAAACTGAAAGTTGGGGCCTCCCTGGTGGCGCAGCGGTTGAGCGCTGGGTTGCGAAGCTGCCTGCGGCCTCTGCAGTGCCGTTCGATCCCCGGCTGCTCCCCGGCCACCCGAGGAGGGTCCCACATGGCGCGCAGACCTCTCCTGCCGCCCGCTGCTCCCCTCAGCAGTGTACTTCGGTCCTTCTGCCTGCTCTGCTCCCCGCTCTGGCTCTGGTGAATTCTCTCACCCTCCCGTGTTTCTGACTTTACCCAGTGCATGTATAA